TATTTTAAAATTATAATAAATAATTTATATTGTAATACTTGGTTGTTTTTATTTATTGATTATTTATTTAAAATGTTAAATTTTAATTTTAAATAATTATAATAAATAAAAAATCAAATTAGATATATAATTAAAATAATTCTTAAATATATATAGGAGTTGATTGTATTACATATTGAAATTCATTAAAAATAATAATAATAATTATATAAGTTATATTTATATAATGAATAGTTTAGATTATAATATTTTATTTTTATGATTTAAAAACTAATAGAATTTAATTTGAATGAAAAAAAAATAGTTAAAATGAATAAGGTTAAGAAAATCAACTACGTATAAAAAGAGAATATGGGATAATTGAGAAATATTTTTTTATTTAGTATAATGACCTAATAAATCATTACACTTTACAACTTAGATATAAATTCACAAACACATAATGATTTCTTGAATTTCATTACTTAAATTAATAAAGTTTAGTATTTTTGTCGAAGTATAATACTTGGGTGTGAGCCTACCAAAGTCATAACATGTACAACTAAGCCTCCTATGATTAGCATGCCGATTACCCTCCAAGTACTAAGCTTCTTCCAATATTTAGTTAGGGAATTTGATCTCTAACCTTGTAACTAGGGGTGGGTAGATGGACCCGGGTCCGCAGACCGGTCTGTAAGCCCGCGGATTTCGCGGATAACGGACCCGTTTTTTTCAAATCCGTATGATTATGTCTAATTTTTTAGCCCGGTCCGTTAAGTCCGCGGACTTGGCGAATTTAATCCGCGGACTCGCGGGCTAGTCCGCGGACTTCACATTTAATATTTTTAAATATTATGATTTTAATATTAAGTTGTGTATTTAATTTTTTAAAATTATTATGACATTAAAATTATGTTTAGTTGGTATATATTTGTCATTTGAATGATTTTTATGACATTTTGATGCTTTTATTATTGAAAGTTTGCTACTATTATTTAAGTATTTGTAATTATTTTTATTTTAATATTTTAATATTTAGTATTTTAAACCATTTTAACTATTGATAAATTTTAGTATGATAAAATTTAGCTTATAAATAAAAAATATTTTTTTCTTCTAATTTTATGTATTTTTATTTTTAAAAAATTTATTTTTTGAACCATTATTTAGGCCCGCGGACCAGTCCGTTATCCGCGGATTTTGGCGGGCCGGATACGGACTTAAAAAATAAGTCTATTTATTTTACGGACTGGACTTATCCGGCCCGTATAAAATGCGGGTTTTACGGACCGGGCCTTAAACGGGCCGGACCGGTCCGTATACCCACCCCTACTTGTAACTTACTTAATTTGATCAATTTTTACATGTGTGGCTTGACCTGGTACCAAAACCAATTTATATTGGTCATTTTATAATTAGTATAATTCAATTTGACCCTTATGTTATTTTATATTGGCCACTTTATACACATGTGACTCAACTTAGCTCCCATACAACATCAATTAAGGCTCAAGAGAAGCCTTGACGCTCCACTTTAAAAGTCAATTTCTTAATAAGAGTTTTTAACAACTGGACTTATAAAACACCACGACATTGTATTCTCACAAGGGATATGCAACTTTTAAAACAACACATTTCCTATAATCATAACAATTAACATAAATAAAAACAATGTCTAAAGCGTTATCAACACAGGTACTCAACACTATATTGCATACAACTCTTGCTACATTTCAACATTTGACAACTTGCAATCTTCATTGGTATAAACACCGATATACATAATCTCAAATCATTGTATAAAGTCCTAACAACATGCAACATGTGAGCATTTCCACTCATATGCACCATTTTACATTTTCAATTAGCAACTCATGCTCGACACTCTTGTTTCCATGCATAGCATCATTAAGACAAATAATTTCTAACTTGCCACACCTGGCGTGAGTTAGGTAGAAAGTCCTTATATCAAATTCACCTAGCATGGCTAAAACCATGTTTAACCTCATTCAGACAATAAGTCTCTACCTTACTCATGTCTAATGCCACTTAGCTAAAGCCTGATGTTATCAAGGTAACCACATCCAACGCCCCTCAATTCATGTCCGACGTGACAAAGTTAAAAATTTTTCCTCTAATTTATATTTAATACTAACAATTTTATGTCCGACGCTAGTGAGACTAAAAGTCTCTAGCCTATATCGTATTATTTTTATAAAGTATTTATAGATTTTATTAATGAATATTTTTTTTAAGAATTTGATTAATAATTTTTAATGGAATATTTTTTAAAATATATTTTTCACACACAAAATTTAAATTTAATATTTTTTTAAAAAAATATAATTTTATATTACTTAAATTAAGAATTTGTCGGTAAAAAAAATTAAGTTTATTGGATAGAAAATCCCTGATGTATGTTTTTAAAAAATTAGGATTATATTGCCATGTGATAGGCCGTATAACATAAAGATGGTCCTCCG